ATTCAAGAAATAAATTTTCTATATTTTTTACTTCAACATCTAACGGTTGCAGTTTTTAGTTTTGGGTCTGGGCTTCGCCGGGCCCCTTGCCTGCCCGGGCCCCAGGGTTATCATCCCGGCTGCCCCCCCTCTCGACGGCCCTGCAAAGGAGGGTGAGTTACCTCACTGATACTAAGCCTCGCATTAGGGTCCTTTGCGTCACCTCTATATGTGGCGTATTCTCCTTCCCGGAGGTCTCCCGCAGATATCGTAACCGTTGGCTAAATTGCAGGAGAGTTCCAGGTGAGGTGCGCCTCAATATGCAGGCCACAGTATGGCTTGTCGTTGTTGACAAAAGGTTGGGCAATGACAAAGCACATGCTCAACCGTTTCGTCTGCAGCGTCGCACCGTCTACACATTGAGGTCTCAACAACACCCAAGCCCAAGGTGTACAGGTGTTCATTTAGTCTACAGTGTCCTGAGTAAATTCCTACCAGAAGGCGGAGGTTTTCCCTCGACAACTGTACATTATACTCGGCTCTTTTTCTGCTAGGGAGGTCGATCATTGATCTGCCCTGCTTACCAGTCTCTAAACTGCCTACATTTTGGCGTGCTCTAAACGAGTTATTTGTTTAACTTCGGCAATGACGATGTTAGTTGACAGAGGGATAATGGGTTGAGGTCCCATCGGGGCTTTCCCTGAAGCTGCTCTGGCAAGACTGTCAGCCTCTTCATTGCCTGCGTTGTTATTGTGCCCTTTGACCCAACAGAATTCAATACACTGCATAATCAGCTTTGAGTTTGTTCTAGCGCTGTCAAGGACCGACAGCACGGATTTACTATCCGTTAGAAATCACACGCGTTCGTCGTCGATTTCTTGATCGATGGCTATCTTGGCTTCCTGGATGAACGCCATCAATTCCGCCTGAAATACGGTGGTGTGGTCACCAAGGAAGGTACTTATGCGGAGGTTCAGTTCAGGCGAGAAAACTCCCGCTCCTGTTCCTCTACTGGTTTTCGGCCCGACCGTGTATATTGAGACCGTTGGGGTAGCCTGTGCCTCACCCAACTTAATAGACACTGTAGGATCTTTTTGTTATCTGTGTGGACATCGTGCGATCCACCGCCGCACCCAGCAGGGGTGCATTTCTGCTCCCTTCCGCTAGTATGCGGCAGTGTCTTCCCACCCAGCTTCCGGCTGCCACAAGCCCAAGGAGTTTAATTTGCAAGCGGTCAAAAGGGCCATCTCCTCTACATACAAGTGCAGAGGTGGCAGATCCAAGACCGCCTCCATTGGCCTCGTCGGGGTGGTTCTCATAGGGCCCGTGATCCCAATACACGCAAGTCGTTGCATTTTATCAAGTAGGGCCCTTGTTTTCACTTGTCTAGTTCTGGGCCACCAGACAAGCGCTGCATAGCAAACCAATGGTCTTATGATAGCTGTGTATATCGACCTGCCCATCGCCCTGCGGCACTGCCACATGGCCATGTTCGCTTTTTCCGTTTTCACCTCAATGTGTCTTTTTCAGCTAAGCTTTTGATCAAGCACAACCCCCAGGTTCTTGACCTCTGAGGTATTTGCATACCACTTAGCTTTCTTTTCCTGGTGAAGAGGAATAACTCCGTTTTCAGTGAATTCACGGACAGGGAGTGCTCCTCACACCAAGATCAAATTTGGTTAAGAGCCTGTTGTGAGTTTGCATGAGATCGCATAGAACGCTCTCAACCTTGCCTGTAAGCAGAATGCGCAAGTCATCTGCGTAACCTATAGTATGGAATCCCGTATCATTTAAGCTATATAGGAGGCTGTCTATCATAATGTCTCAGAGGATCGGTAATGACACACCACCTTGTGGGCAGCCTCTCTTAACCAGATCATTGATAGTGGTGTCCCCTGTGTCAACTTTCACGACCCGCCAGCTTGGCATCTTCTCTATCTATCTGGTGATGGTGATGGTAGGTAGAGCCCCATGTCTAGCTAGCCTTGTTTGATATTATCGAAGGTCGTTCTATCGGACGCTCCTTTGATATCAATAAACGCTGCCAGGATGGACATTTTCCAATCCAGAGACTGTTCAATCCTGCACACGACTGCGCCGAGAGCAGTCTCCGTGGATTTCCCTGGTATGTATGCATGTTGGTTTCGGTGAAGGGGGTTGCGTGCAAGGGGTCCTTCTCTTAAGTTCCGTTCGCACAGTCTCTCAAGAGTCTTTAATAAAAAGGATGAGAGACTGATTGGGCGGTAAATTGGCTCTGGCATAATCGGTTTTTCCTGGCTCGGGTATAAAGATTACTTTTACCTCTCGACATTTCTCAGGTATGTATGCCAGAGCAACACACACTTTGAAAATAAGCACTGGATAATATCCAGACCCCTCTGTAGGAGCGCCGGATATATCCCGTCCAGCCCTGGTGCTTTATATGGAGAGAAGCTATTGATTGTTTCCATGTTTCCTCGACTTTTGACTTATTAACCACTTCCTGGGCCACCAGCCAATCACCCTCCGTCGAAGTAACAGTCTTAGCTTATTCCAGGTGTGGTTTTCTAAGATCTCACAGTCGGAAAACATGTGCTTTGTGAGAACTTCGGTCGTTTCAGTTGAAGTAGTGGTATATGTACCATCCTCTTTTTTCAGCAGACCTAGCGGTCGAGAGTCTTTGGAGAGCACCTTCTTCAGTCAGGCTGCAGCTGTAGTGTTTTGTATATCACTGCAGAAGTGTCTCCAAGTTCCTCTCTGTGATCTGCGAATTTCCCCTTTATACTTCGCTCGGTGTGCTTTATACGCATCCCAGTCAGTCGCTCTTTTGGTATTTTTCGCTTTAATAAAAAGCCTTTTGCTTTCTCTCTTGAGTCACTCAAGTCTTAAACTCCACCAAGGTGTTGTTCTACTTGAGCGTATCATTTTCAGCGGACATGCCGCCTCACAGAGTTTGACTTTTGCCTCAGTTAGATTGAGTACGCCTCTTCCTATATCTGGGCTAGTCTGATATTGTGTGAGGGCAGATTTTCGTCCAGTTTCAGTTCCAGCTGCTCCCTGAAAAGGTGTCTGTCGGTTATATATTGATGGCTTCTCTTACTAAAATATGATCACCTCCCGTCGGAAATCGATTAATTATTGAGATCAATAACATTTTTTTTGTACGGTGTCATGCAAGTTGGTACTGTTCGTTCGAAAGGTAATTGAAAATCTGCCAAGAAATGGATAGTGTTCAGAACAACACCATAGACAACACCATAGCCACCACCATAGGGATCGATAGTGATCACAGCTTTACAGCCAGGTACAGTTAAGAGCAAGACAACACAAAGCTATGGAACTTGTAAGTATAAGCCTTCGATAGAAAAGTTACAACACGATTATTAAATCGTTCTGGTGAACAACACACCAGTTCACGGCAAGCCCTGCCTCAGAATTGATCATAGTGAAAGATTTTCTGTTAAAAATAATCGATTTGAAATGGAGAGGAGTTCTGAATAGCTTGAGAATGATCGATTAGGAGATAGTGACATGAAAATACGTTTTTGGTTTGAATGTATAAAAAAAATCCAACAACATCGAAAACCTCGCCTCTCTGCCAGATTTCTATCAAAAGATATCAGTCTTTAGAGTTCGCAACAAAACGTGGACGTAACGTCACAATCGCGTGCAGTCCAACAGATTTTGCTTTTGTGTACTTTGGTTCAGAACCAAAAGCCATGGTTGACCTATTTGAGTCAACCCGTATTTAGGTGAGAGTCGCAGGATTTCATTAGAGTCTGAGTCTACGGTTGATTTGCGAATATCTCGAAAACCGTTAGACAAAAAATGATGCAGCTTGAAATATTGTCCAATATTATCCTAACAGACGCTCTTCATCCTACGATGAGGTATAATACTGCGAGTGCTTCGACCATCCGTGCAGGCGCAGATAAGGCGGGTGCATGCAGGACACTCAACAAGGAACAGGTTGTCAATTTTCTAGTTTCCGTGACGTCGCTACACACATAGGAAGAAGAACCACCCGGAGGGTTAACACGGATGTACAGGAAGGCATCCTAAAGGGAATTCATTTGACAGACATAGATATGTTGAATGTATAGTTGGGAAGATGATTATTCTAAGGACTCTGGTAAGGCATGGTAAGGAGATGGGGAATGATAGATGGAATCATGCAGGAGCTCCTTTGTGTGATTTATATAAACAAGCATTTACGTGATTCTGGAGACTTCTTGGTTTAATTTTTTAGTTGTAGACAATGTAGACATTGAGTTTGAATAAGACAACCATTGTATAAAGTTTAGTAAAAGCGGTAAGTTATTAGTAGTCGGTTGTCATTGTATAGACAATTAGTTCAATAAAATTTGTTGTACAATAACAATAATATATTACAAACCGAGTAGGGAAGTGTTTCATTGCTGTCAAGATATTTATATAGTCAATCAATACGCGAAGCGATATGTCATTTATTGTTTCGACGCTTTTACCTGACATGTTCTCATTGGTGCCAGTAAAGATAAATAAATTAGCAAATTCATTTGAGTGGAGGAAATTGGTGAGGAGAATAGGTGAATGAAATCGGAGAGGGAAGTAGAGTAGGAAATGTGAGACTTCCAAATTTTTAAATAGTCAGTAATTATCAGCATTATTATATATTGTTGCAAATACATATTTTAACTCATTCCGGTGTGGACATCATTGAGTGGAATTTTCCTCAATTCTGTTTCACCCTATAAGAACTCTATGCCCTCTGTTTTAGACCGCTTTCTCGTGAACAATTTGACATTATTCTTATCTCTGTTGGGAAGTAAAGAATTTGTGTTTTGGCTAATGTATGTGTTTTTTAAGTCCACACACTTGTCGCATAATTTAATTTGTTACAAAAAAATATATTTTCAGTCCGTGACTCAGTATTTTAATTTAAAATACTTGGTTTTGTAATTGACATGCAGAAACGTTACATGCAAAAACTTTTTATTTTTATTTAGAATATCTAAAGACCCTGTAATTAGGCTACAGAAAGAAACATCCATACAACTTACCTTAAACTTTTCATTTCCATAATCCCTTCAGGCACTTCAATTAAAGTACCATTCGACAGCTGTTTGAGCCACACAGCTTCACTGTGAGCGTCTGGCAGGTCGATTCTGCCACCGAAAGCTTCACAAAACAATCTCATATTATCACCGGCGAAAGCTTCCATATCCTGGGAAACGTAGGTGATTTTAGGATCATCTGGCAATTTATCTGGAAAAATTAAAATAATTTAATTACCCGAATTATAAATTGAAATTTCACGGAATTTCAAAACTGAATACCCAAATGGACTGTTAAACTACATTATGTATCAGGAATATTCAAATTGAATCGAATTAATGTCCAACTATAAGTCAATTATTATCGCAATATCACAAACGTGGGTTATTAGATAATATATTTGGGCCAATCGTATCAAAACCAATTGATTCAATTATTACATAAAGCTATAATGTGGGTGACAAAACTAATCAGCATGAAATCTATCTCAAATTTCGTCTAGGCGGACACGTAATTTTTTATAAAATGTCAGGGGCTAATTTGTGAAAGAAAACTGGTATGAATGAATATAGTAAGGCGTTGGAATAGGTACCTACTTATCATAATGGTACGTTCCTGTCTATAAATATATACCTATATGTATATTTGCTCTAGTTGCAGCCACGCAGTCTTTAGTTAAATTTCATTTCATATACAGGTTAGGATTACAGATTAGAGCCAACTTGAATTTCACTGAAATTGTTGAAAGTTCATGGCATCAAAGGGTCTTTCTTATTGGTAATCAGATTAAAGTGAAACTTGTTATTTCTGCGGGGTCGCTTTTACTTATTCAGAACTGAGTATTTGAGGATTTAAACTGATTTTGAGAGAAAAATCAACCGTAAAATGATGCGTTAGTCGGGGCGTTAGTGGTACCACTACATTTTATGTGGCGTACGTACGTAGAAACATCGCCCACCCCTGAAGTAATCTGTAAAAATCTCGTATACGAAATTTGATCTGAATGACAGCAATGTTAATGGAATATGAATGAAGGATTCGCAATAATATCAAACGTGTACGAGAAGGTTTCTACGGAAATTGATGTGAATCCATTGTGGTAAGAAGTAGGGAACGTTCAAAAAAATATGCCAGCTTGGAGAAGTTTGATGAATTATGAAGAGAATCTGAAGGAACCAGATAAAGGCAAAGAAATTCCGAAGATACGGAAATTATTTATCAAATTCTAGAGGAAGTTCCTGCGCAAAACTTTCGAAGCTGTCTCGGCCTCGCATGAGAATAATAAGGAACGTTATTGTTTAGTGCAGACTGCAGACACCAGACGCACAGGAATATTTCCTCGAAACTGTTTTGTGACCAATTTTAGCCGAAATATATGAGAGAAAACCAACTTGAAAGTTTTCATTCCAAACCAAGGAAGTGCATAGTGGAAGTAAGGCCAGTGAGGGACGATTGTGAAAATCTGGAGAAGTTCAAATCATGCCAATTTGAGAAGGTATTAAGAAAGTGCGGGAAAATTGGAAAAAATCCATTTCTTGGGGTGCACTTATTAAAACACCACGTTCTTGGCATCCAAAATCCGATCCTGCTCACCATACTGTTTCATTGTATGTAAATGGAACGAAGCGTGTCCTACGCTCAATTCAACAGTATTACACAAGTAGGTACAAGTATAATACAAGTCAGCTGGCAGCTGCAAAATGCAAAATGACACGAACGTATCCGCCTTTCCTCGGTGCTAATAATTTCAGATTTATACAGATTTTACCGCAAATAAGTAGGTGCTTGAGCAATAATTTTTACTCAAAATAATATTACTTTCTTTTCTTCGAAGCTCATATTTTTTGAAAAAGTATATTTTATTAGTGGCCGCGAGACAATTTCATCATTGTCTAACCTTAACCGAAGAACCATTTCGCTTACATCATAAATCGTGCAGGTTACGACCTGTTTGGCTCGAATGAATTCTTCCGTTGAGCGTCAGGGATTCCTACCTGATGTTTAATGTCAGCCAAAAAATAAATTAACATAAATTAAATATTTATTCCTGAGTCACCATTTAACTAGCTTAAATATATACCCATTTTGTGTCCATTGAACAGGAAACGAAACGGGCTCAATCGTCGATTGCATAATGCATCGTATGTAATTCCATAAACCATGTGGGCGTTCATTGTAAAAGCCCATTTTATCCTCTACTAGAGTAGGTACTTGCAAATTCATGCAGTTAAAAGTTTGTACAGTTATTCAAAAACACACCTGTGGTATACCTACTTGAGTATGACTTTTGAATTAACTTTTTTTATGAGAATTTTTCAGTTTTCTTTCCTAACTCCTAGATAATATTTAATGATAATAATGAATCTGCTTTTATTTACTTTTATCTCTCTGCAGGATTTCAGCTGAGTTTGCTAAATAATGTGTTTTTCCGAGTAAATTAATTTTAATTACTCGCACCAGGTGTTCCTTGTCAATTTACAAAATCGAATATCTCTTTATTTCATCTTCAATAGCCTCGCAACAGTTTCCGCGAAAACCAGATAATTATATTCATTATATCCCGCAGATTGGCTGCTCTTGTTACTGCAAAATTGCCTTATGCTCTGTATGGTAATGTCGGTAGAACGATGAGAGATTCTTAAAAATGTGGTCTTTTCGATTTGGTAGATACAAGTAATGGAGTATTATCCCAGTGGTAGCATGATATGGGAGGAAATAAAGCAGTTTTTCTTTCGAAAATAAAATAAAAACTCAATTAACCCTCTCATGTTTTCGAAACCTTAGAATATGACTGAGAAATTCCAGCTTTTATATATTTTTATTATTGCTTTATAGCAACAACACAGCCAAATTACAGTATGTAGTATAGACAAAGATTCAAAGATTCTGTTCGCAGATTCCAAATCCCTCATCATTGTGTAAGTCTGATGAGCACAAAATATCCACATGTGAATCATCTTGCTCTGCTTGTGAATACCCTTTTCAATTCCTCAATATAGAGAGCTTTCTGCTTCAGTTCATGTATTATTGCTTTCAAAGCATGTACTGGATCCAGATATCCTTTGTTAAGCAAGTTCATTAGAGCCTAGAGAGTAGATAACAAGGCACAATTAACAAGTATTCCTTAAAGTCATGTTTCGTACAACAAGAACGTACCAAGCTAGAATATATCTTTATTGGGAGTGGACTTATCAATTTTGGAAAATCTGGCAAAAGGTTTTTGAATAGACACCGGATCACATTCCTATATGTAATTGATACACGTAGGGGGCCATCGGCAAGAGGAGCGCACCAGCGTGTGTTACAGCTATTAGCGAAAGCTCCAAGATAAGATAGGCAGTAACCCAGTGATCCTTATCTCCCAGCAATTGGAACTGGTCGTTGAAAACTAGACTAGGAGAATACAGAACCCGAAAAACGTTTTCAATTTCGAGGTTATGTCGGACAAAGCGAATATAAACTTTGTGGAACTAAAAAACCAAAAAAAGTGCAAACATTGTAAGAAAAAAGTGGTGGACTCTTATGAATGTGAAAACTGTAACGCTAGCTTCCATCCAAGTTGTGCTAACCAAGCTAAAGTTACAAATAACAGTGGAAAAGTGTTTTGTTGTGCAGGGCAAGATCATAGTGAGCTTATACCAAGCAAAAGGGGCGATAGTGGTCTTAAAAGCTCAGATACTATAATTATGGATGAAAAAAAAAACTAAAGAACATAATTCGTGAGACCATACAACAGTCCATGGACAGCTTTGAGAAGAAAATTAACTCAAAAATGAATGAACTTGAAAATCGGTTCAACATAATATGTCTCTCATTTTTGATGAACAAATAAATAAATTTGAGAGTGTCTTGGAAGAACTTAAGGTACTAAAGAAGAAAAATGAAGACCTTAAGGCTAGACTACAAATAGCTGAGAATAAATTGGATAACCTGGAACTTAAAGAAAAGGAGAACAATATGGTGATTATTGGTGTACCCAAAACAAGATAATCTAAGCACATATGAAACCGTATCTAGGATCTGTACGTCCTTGCAAACACCACTTAGCGATGAAGATATCAATGAAAGTTACAGAGTAAGTAAGAAAGAAGATGCACCAATCCTTGTGAAGTTTAATAGCAGAATTAGGAAGAATGAAATTATGAACATGATTAAAAGTGTAAAGAGAACAACAGTCGAAAAATGCCAACTTCAAGGAACAAACAGAAAAATCTACTTAAATGCTGTGGTTAAACGAGGTGGGTTCGGCTTGCTCACTCCGTGCACTCCGAGTGATTCCATTTGCACTCTAGCCGTTCGGGTATTGCTTTTTGGCGTATTTGGGGTGACTCCATTAGCGTTCGACTATACAGAGTGGAGTGAATAGAGTTCACTCCAAAAGTTCCACCTTGGAAAGAGAATTTTTTAGAGCAAGCATGCGCAGCAGTGAAATGTGGAAACTGTCAAACTTGTTGTGTTGCCACGTTGTGGTTGTTGTTAAAGAAATTAAAAATCGTTTGTGGTGTGGTTGCGGGAATTGGTAAAATCATCGAGTAAAATAATTGATCTGATTTTAAAATGTATTAAACATGATGGAAAAGTTTCCTTGACAAAGTTAAACAGGGGTAAAAGCATCATATTATTCTATGGTGGAGAAATTTAAGTTAATTTATAGTACGACACGAAAGACCAAAGATAAAAGTGAAAAAAAAAATTGGAAACTGGGACGCTGTAAAGTCACGGTTGACTGTTGTTTTGAAACCAAACAAATCAGCTGTTTGACATTTTTGCTCCAACCGTTCCGGTCGTTTGTGTATTAATTTTTCACTGTAATCACGTGACAAAAATCTGTTCCAACTCCACTCCAACTTTGTGCTGAATAGCCGAACCCAGCTGCGATGACTTACCTGCCAAAAAACGAGAACTGCTTAAACAAGTGAGAGACTTCAAGAATGATAAGGGATACAAGGACGCCTTTTACAGGAACGGTATTATATACTTTAAAAAAAAAAATAGATCAAGACGCTCCTATTGAAATTAGGTCTAATCCTGATCTGAAAAACTAATCAATTTTACAGCAGGTACTTTTCAGGTACTCCATATGTGATACATTGTAACTCACTATAATAACATTCACACCATTTATTGAAATCTTAGTTGATTATAAAACAATTAATACAAACTTATGTGATGATTTGACTAAATTAGATTTAAAAGCAAAAATAAAAGTG